CCACGAAAAACATTAAATTCATGCTCAGCGTGACGAACTCAAAAATTTTAATTTGCGGAATATGAAAGCTCATAAATAGCTTATAATTTTGCGCTATTGGTTTTTTTATTTGTGCAAGGTGGGGAAACCAGCTCGACAGGGGTATAATAATCGATACTTACTCGCCAGCCGCCGAACAAATCGCTGTGTTCGAGGTAGGATAATCTTTTGTCGGTGAGCAACAGCACGTCTTTATTAATGAACACATGGTAGAAGTACACATCTGTGTGCGCGTATTTTCCCTTTTCCAGTTCCTGTTTAAAAGAAAATTTCACGTAGAAAAGTTTCTTGCATTTTTAGAATTTCTGGGACAATAAAATTACCATCAATATCTTGTTGCCGTCGGCTTCATCCTTTATATACGGCCTGACGAGACTGTCTGGTTGCAGAAATCTGGGCGACCGCACTCTTCTAGTTTCCTCGCTCAATTCGGTAGCCCTAATATATATATATATGGAAATATAACGCAATAGATTTATCATAATTTATATCTAAACTTTAGTTAATTGTCTTATGCGTCTTATAAAATTAGTAAATAGTTTACCGTCTGACAGCTCCAAACGAACCACTCGCGAAGTCGATAACACCAGCGGTAGGCCTCGTTACGAGCCCGACAACGCCTTTTCCGAACCCTTTGAAGAATCCTTCGACTCCTTCCTCCCTCGCTCCTGATATAGGCTTCGTCACCACACCCGTTACACCGTCGAATACACCCTGCCGAACAAAATAAATAATAATTCGCATGTATTATATTAATTAAAAATTCATTAATCTGCAAATATACCATCACTAAGCCTTTTCCGCTTCGAGCGAGACCCTCTTGTAAGTTAGCAGGCTGCTTGTTAAGTTGCTCCTGTCTCTTCCGCTGATAATCCTTGTCGAAGGTCAGAGCGGCTATACCCTTGCCTGCGAAATGCAATAACAAAAAATTATAAAGAAAAATAATAAACCAAAAAAATGTTAGAATTTAATAAGATTAGTTTAGAAGGATAAAATAAAATTTAAGATTTTTGCAAATATAATTTTTGGCAATAAAAGCTGTAAAAGGAAAGTTTAAACATTTTTTTTCACGTTAAAAATGTGTGCAAGTTTTGACAATTCAAGTATCAATTTGACGATCAAGAATTTAAAGACGCACCCATCGCCCCTGTGATCTTCGACACAGCGCCCGCCATCCCGCCGACGGTGTGACCCAGCATGCTGCGCACTCCGAGGAACAGGCCCTCCGCGAACTCCCCTGGACCCTGTATAGCCCCCTGGAAGGGTTCGTAGAACAGGTCCTCGATGCCCTTCATCGTCCCGACCACGAGCCCGTACGGATTACCGATCACATCGAGCCCCAACACGAGTACGTACGCCTGCTTGATCGCCTGACCCGCGTAATGCGTGGTAGCCTCGGAGATGAGCTGCTTGTGCGTCATAAACACGTAGTTCCTCTCGAAGTACGCTAATCTGTGCGGCAGAGAAATTCAAAATTTCAAGAGTAACGAAAATTATAAAGCACCTAATTATTTTCAATTTAAGAAAAACAAAACTAAGAGATGTAAGAACTAAATATTCCACACGAGAATTATTTTAAATTTATAAGCGCGATAGACACTTTACTTGAACACAATGTCGTTGATATCCGTCAGTGTCACGCCGATTCCTTGCAGCAGCACGTTAAGTACTTGCGGTACCGCGGACGGTCCTCCTCCACTTCCGGTCATCGAGAAACTAATGTGTATCTGTAAATAACAAGAAAGAAATGAAGAAAATTCGACTATTAACTAAATAACAATGTACGCGATTTAAACGCGGCGAACCTTGAGTGGCGAGAAGTGCAGCAGATCGAAGAAGTTCTTCTGCTCGGCCGTCGTGATCAGACTGACGTGATACATCAGCGGTTCGTTGACTAGTTTCATGTCGGTGCGGAATAATGCACTCTAAAATGAACAGCCAACAAAATTATCAGTAGAGAAAATTCGCGAAGACTTTATATTTCAAAGACGCGAGTTATTCAGTTTTCATGAAAATGTTTAAATAAATTTCAATATTCCTCAACTCACCTCTTCCGCGTCGTTGACCTCGTTCGCCTCGAAGAGACCCATTATCGCGTTTATAAAGACGATATCCACCTTGATATGGAACTCTTGTATGAGAACTTTAAAGTATCGGAACTGTTGCACAGTGCTGTGCTCCAACAGGCGCTTTACCATGCTGAGCTCCGCGAAAGGTTTCATGACTGCAGGAAAAAATATTTTCAGAAAACGTACAATTCTTACAAATAAGTAATCGTATAAATAATTCTAGAATCATGCTTTACTCATTTCAATTCTTGAAAACAAATGTTTGTAAAAAATCTCAATGCATACTAATAATTTAGAAATAACAGAATTAAGAATATATTTTTAATTATTGAAAAATGAACGATTAATATCGTATAATTTTTCGCATCGAGTAGATAAACGGTACCTGTGCTCTGCGTGACGCTCTTCGGCGGCGGCACCGGAGCCAGAATGACCGGGAAGACGCACTCCGACAGCTGATTGTCGATTTGAAGCCTGTTGATCTTCGCATGCAGCTGCACCTGATGCGCCGATGTGCGATACTGCAACCAGAGTCCAGTTTGGAATGTGCGCCGCATGTATCTACGATGTGGCTTCAGCATCTCCATATTCAAATAATCCACCTGAAAACAATCGAAAAAAATTACTAGACAATCACACACACCTCTTAAAACTAAACTAATTAATTCTATTTTTTTGTAAATTTCTTAATATTAGTACTAAACTTTTGTGAATTAGAATGTTTGTCAATTTTTTCTATTTTTATTTTGTGGAGTTTAGCTTGTGAGAAAATAATATCGATAGAATTAATTGAATTATTAGATATGTCTTGTTTTACCATCAATTTGGGTTCCAGCATTATGCGATAATCCGCATCCTTGCCGATCTGCAGTTCCTTAAGGTATCGTTGATATCCTTCCTCGATGGCGTTCACCTCCTTGGCGTTCAACGCTCGCCATCTACCGCCGAGAGACTTGCGTGTCTCCCAGATAATTCCGGAGCTGAAAATATAATAAACACTCATTAATTCTTCAACATAATTATAAAAATATACGCAATAATCGTTTAATATTATATTTAAAACTAAAATAATAAAAATTTGTATTAAATTCAAAAATATTTTATTAATTAAAAATAAAATTCTAGAACTTTCTGTTCAAAACTGTTAAAATTCAATTAATAAATGTAACTTATTTACCTGGCGATGCACATGTACAGCAACTCGGACTTGGTGATGTTGTTGACGAGGGAGAACCCGATGCCGTGGATGTTCAACGTGATCTCCTGATCTATCACTTCCAAATCGCCAGCTAGCTGGCAGTCCTCGGCGATCTTCAAATTCGGAGTGAACAGCAACACTCGCTGCGTGCCGTCTAAGAACGACACGTAATACAATTCTTCATCGATGTCCAGCAGTCGGAAGGTGCCGAGATTATCCTGGAAAGAAGCGAGTACAGCGTAAGCTGCTTTCACGCGACGCTCTCCTTCCTTTTCTTACCTTACGAAGATTGTCCTCGATTTCTTTGCCGTTGCTGTCCTCCCAGACCAGCTTTCGCGGACCCGACGGGTTTTCCCAGGTGTAGAACATCCTGTTGTATGCCTGCACGGACCTGTCGATGCACAATCAATTAGCGTATCAATTAGGCAAATATGTAATAATGCGCTGCGCTCGTAGCGTAGAATTTTAATAACAGATTCGAACGTTTATTTTTGTATATACCTGACGTTGATCGAACTCTTTTCCCAGAGATTGATGGTACGTCGCGTATGGTTGATGATCAACGCCGGCGCGTAGCCAGGACTGTAGGCCGACATGGAGATGTAAACGCCGCCCTCACTGAGCTGCACGTCCACGTTGATTCCGCCATACTGTTTTGCGCCGAAAAAGTTTATCAATTGAAAATAAAATTATGGTATTCTTTGTATTCAAAAATGTCAAAGCTTAACATTTTTCCTGCTGCGATTGAACGCTTATTGAAATGCAATCTCGTCCTACCTTATTGTCCAACTTTAACAAAGTCGTATGACTGTCCGTGTAAGTAAAGGCCGCGGTTTTCTCGGGCTGGCCCGCGACTTTCGCCTTCAGAATCTTGTTCTCGTGTTCAGTTCGAGGCCACAGAGCTGCGCATTCGCCAGGAGGTACCTTAAAATTATATTATACATCATAACAAAATCATGAACTAAAAAAATTTTGTGTAAAACAATCGAGTTGCTCGTTTAACGCACTTTGATCATCGGATCGGCCGGTCGATCGCCCTCTTGACACTCTATGAGAAAGTCCGCGTTGTTGATGAGAATGTAATAGGGCGTGAACGTGATTTGTTTCGTCAACGAGTTGTACGTCAGCTGATTGTGCACTCCGATCTGTAAGAAATTACTTATTATTACATTATTTTATCTATTTTTTATTTTCTTTTTTCTCGTGTACAATTTTTCTCTTATTGAATGTAATTCAACTGTACTCAATGACGTTTGATAAATCTGATAGATTCAGAGAGAAGATTATCGATGCAAAGACCTGGTACGTCATCCCGTTGTATCTGCACGCGACCACGCCTTCACTGCCGGCGACGTCGATGGAGAACTTGTCGGACCAATCGCCGTCCTCCACCCGGATCATGGCCTTCTTCTTGCCGAAGAACGCCTTGGAACGGAACGAGAAGAGAATGGGCCCCTTGAAGTGCTCCGGATGATACAGAACGTTCAAGTAATCATCCGTTGTCTGAAAAGTCGGCCGATATAAATTAATCGTCGCGTCTTAATCGTTAGAAATCGCTTCTTCAGCATGCAGTTAATAAGACAAGTAATAATTCAGTAGTTAAAACTCAAACTTTCAATACTTTGCTATCGATTGTAATCTGAAAAATTGAGAACACTGGAAAAAAGTTCGATGATTCGAAAAATCCACGTGTCCAAAAAAAATGGAATATAAATCACGGTTAAATGCAGAGCAAAAAACAAGGGGAAAGCGCAGGAAGAAGAAAGCGTGATAAAGAACAGTTATGCGTGGCGATAAGCCGATGCTTGCGATTAGAAAAGCTTGCGCCGGATGAGCGCAATTGTTAACAGATCGATATGCGAAAAACTAACGCGATGGCGATCTGACATCTGGCGACGGTTAGTCCCCGCGACGCGGCATGGATTAGACGGCTGTTATTTCCGCAACGCTCGGATTCTGGCGAAACACAAGCACGAGAGAAAGTCAGCGGACAATCAGTGAAATAAAACATGATGCGTCACCGCGCGCGTCTTCCTCTTCCTGTACCGTGCGCGTTGCTGATGGGGTTTCATAGCGGAAACGAATTTCTGAAAGACGTTTCCCACGTACATTTTCACGATTAAGGCGACGAGAGTGAGAATTCCACTCGCCAATCAAAGTCTCGCAACAATAACCTCGCGGTAATAATTATATTCGTACAAGAAATGTGCACAACAAATTGGAAAGATCGAAAGTTAACTTTTCGGCGGCTTGTTCGCGAAGAATACAACTATCTACACGAGAAGCACAGTAATACGACACGATAACAGAAGGATCTCTACCTTGATCGGACTCGAGTGCTCTTTGCCACCCTTACTTGATTTCTGCAAAATAACATGGAGCATGTTGAATACAGGGCTCTCATTGGACAGAATGTGGCGCTGATTAGTATCGCGAAACACTGAGGGGGAGAGTACGAAAAAAAATGAAGATTGAACAAGGGAAGCGTTAGCATACAAGAAGGATGCGGAGAGTTTGACGATGTTCGAGGAGGTCTCTGAAAACAATGCTATTTGAAACAGTTGAGGATTGGGAGTTTCGGGGGATCTTTGGAGAGAAAACAGTTTTCTAAAGCAAGCGAAAGATGTTCGCCGAAAAAGAGGCGAAGTCACCGCAGAGCGATCGCTGTCAAACGTACCCTGTAAGACAGCATCAGGCCGGTTTTGTTCAGCATCCAGAAAGGACAGTATAATGCCATGACAATTGAGCCGTGCTTGTAGGATGTGTGCATACCGAGGTCCAACACCACCTTCTGCGCACTGTCGAAGGACTCGAACGACCAGACTGCAAATTCAGGCGGGTTCGCCGAGATCTCGCCCTTGCACGACCAGTCCTTTTCCAGATAATTGGGCAACTGCAACCAATCGTTTAGTAAATGACGTGTAATGTGTTTCCTAGTTTGCTATTTTCAAACTTTTGTTTTCGAAAACTAAGAAATTAGAAGTCTGAAATCTAGAATTAAAAAACAAACTACAGAAAAGTTTTGTGTGTTAAAATTCCATCGTAAATATTATTTAATAAAATAGCAATTAAATGATTAAGTTTTATAAAATGTAATTTTTACAGAAATATAAAAATCTGAGTAAGTAAAAAAGCATTATGTTGAAACTTCCAATTGAAATAAAAATTTAAAAAGTGAATTTAAAACAATAATGATTTGATTTTCATTAATCGGCATGCGCTTACCTTGATAACTATGCTCGACTTGGCTGGGTCAATCGTGGGAAGTTGCAGAGAGGCACTGGCTTCGAGAAGGTTTTCCTGCGCGACGCCGGGCAAGCAGATGATGATGTCGATAGGCAGGAAGTTCTTCAGGTACAGAGACGGGTACAAGTGTACGTTGTAAATAGTGCTAGCCATGGTGTGGCGAGTGGTATTCTCGAAATACACCTGCTCAATCTCTCCCACAGCCTGCGCAAACAAGAATAGCATAAAATATTTATTATATAAATAACAATATATTTTATTACAAAGATTATATGCACAGAGATGACACTGACCTGAATGTAAAACGGCTCCGTGATGTCCTGCTTGACTCGGCATTCGCATTTCAGCAGCTTTGTCATGGAAACTGTTTTCTGCAGGTCCTTCCAGACGAACGGCTCGACCGACACCATGTATCTGAAGCAAATTCAAAACATGATCATTGAAAACTTCGTCGAAATTTTGTCGTTCAAATTTTTATATTTCACGAAAGTGAACTCATTATACATTTTACATTATATTATATATAATAGTATTACATAGAATAGATTATATTGAATAGTTCTATATTATCAAATAAAAAAAGACGAATTCAAAAATGCGGACATACCCGTCGACGCTGAAGAACAACCAGTAGATGTTAGTAGGAGTGTACACGGCGTCCAGCGGCAGATTAAGCTTCTCGTCAGGTGACACCGTGCCCACGCACTCCACCTCATTTCCACGCTTCGTCATGTAGTAAACGGATATCGGTTGCGCGAAGTGATTGTGGACCTGTGCATTAAATAGCAATAATAGCAATTTATGTAATCTAAAAACGTCTAATTTACAAAAATAAAATATATATTATTTAATATTCAGTTAAAATAGAAAAATAATAATGCTAATTGTACATATTTCAATTAAATAAACTTTATATTGTCGAAAATATACGTTCTAATATGACAATATTAAATGATACAACCTAATGAGTGTGTGTGTGTGTATAATAAATTGTTAATTTACCTGTAGTATGCTTCGAAGAGTAACAATCGTACTGCCTTCTTCGACAATGACGTCCGACACGATGCCCCATTCCTCAGAGCTCTCTTTGCGGTGCTTCAGAGAAAAGAACCTCTTGTCTGCCCGCAACACGGGTATCGCCAATTTGCCTTGAATGCCTTTGAACTGACGAATTTCATTGCATCGCATTAATAACAAATCCCAGTAAACTTCTAAAATAGCCTCCACGTGTTAAATTCTCGTTAAACTTACAGACACAGCGAATTTACAATCCTCCCTGTCCTTCACGGTCTCAGCTCTACTCTGCTCGAGGAGACGCGCGTCCAGCTTGGACGTCTTCGGCGCAAGCTCGATCGACGCGCCGGTTTCGAGGATCACCTCCATGTACGAGTCGCTGTTGTTCCTCATTCTCGATCCATCGTCGAAAATCTGTAAGCGTCATTATTGTATTGATTAATAAAACCGCTTAAAACAGATCGATTAACAAGAGATTTTTTTTCTCGTAGCAAAAACCTTGAAGAGACTGTGCTCCAGGTCGAGTACCATCGCCAGGCCGGTCTCGTTCTTCAGCACGTACGGCGCCACTTTCCTAGTGGGCCCCTTCCCGCTGGCGTCCATCGCCGAAGAAAACGCCTGGCCGAGTTGCTTCAGCACATCCAGACACGTCTTCGTCACGCTTATCTCCAGATTATCCTACTCGAATAAAAACGCGAGGAAAGATGAATTCATATATTCTCGACACAATTTTATAATATCATTAAAACTTTAAACGATGTTTTACTGAATAAATAACGTTTTAACATTTAATTAACATATTCAGCATTTTGCTTACGGAAGATGTGATGTCGATGGACATCTTAGTGGACTGATGCAGCTCTTCGGTTTCGCTATCGGAAGCTGGGCTGACCGCGCTGGCGCCTCTGGAGTCCAGCAGTATGTCATTGAATTGGATCTGACAAAAAGAACAATTGTTATGAATTCACAAAGAGACAAGAGAATATTAAAGATGAGTTGGGGTTACCTTTGTCTTCAGCTCCCACGGCGTCGAGTTTTCTATCCGCTCGATCAGCGGCTCCCAGAGTGCAAGGCGACTGTTGTAGTACGACATGATCATTGACATCGTGCAGTCCACGCTCATCTAAAAAATATGCACGCAATTCATTGATACATATTTTATGATAATTTATGTTTCAACAATTCTATCTTATATTTATGAAGTTTACTCACAGTTTTTGTGCTCCAATCATTGACGTTGCTCTGGAAACCCACGTGAAGCAACAGCATGGGTAGAGTTTTATTGCCGACACCTGCTTCTAAGGTGAGCAAGATTGTCGGCGCCGAGACGATCGCCAATTCGGCTTTATAGGCCGTAACAGTCTCATCGTCCGGATATGTAAACTCTTCGAGTGCTTCCGTCGCAATTTCTAGGGAAAGGAAAAGATTTCTTATTGCTATTAAATAAAAAAATTATGAAATAATGTTTTACGGTAATAATTGAACATCTACTTATTAATAATATTATAAGAAAAACATTTGTTATCATCTAATGTCGCTAAACCGAAGATCTCGCGTTAACGTATTATAATGTATTTGGAAAAAGTTTTAACGTAACTTTGAAAATAACAAGGAAATAATTGAAAATAATTCATTAATCGGCAATATATAATTAATTAGGAAACAGCCTATTAACCTGTCTTCAGGAACCAGTAATCATTCTCCTCGAAAGGCGTGACAATCCACAGTCCTTCGTAATTCGGCTCGGATTTGACAACCTCTTTGTCCTCCTCTTCCTTCTTCGTCACCGTCTGAATAACTTTGTTCAGTATCTCAATCACACCTGCAAAGTTGTCGAGTTGTTATGAATACTGTCAACCAGCTGAATAAATGAAAGGTTTACCTGGAGAAACGGAGATGTGTATATCTGTGCAGCAAACTTCCAAGTGGAGTCCTTTGCCTTCCGGCGTGGAACCGGCCACACTGATGCTGCATGGCTTCAAAACCTACGCAATAATAATAATTAATAGAAAATAACAGATAGTGGAATAAAAGACTTCACAATTTTAACTTAATAATTTAATAAAGGCACTTTAAAGTTGTAAAATTTTAAGGCTCTTTGCGTTGCGACAAAAGAACATTCTAGAATTTTTTGAACCGATAAAAAATTACAAATTTTGATCTACATATGAATAAAAGTTATAATAAATAGATAAATATAGAGAACACAGAAATTATAAAATACCATATTTTTAACTAACTGTAAGATATTTAAATTCCAATAATTTTCACAATCTGATACCTGATAGATCCAGTCGGCTCTCTTCGCAGGATTGTATATCCCTGTCAACAAAGAGAGATCCTTGACCGAGCCCGCGATCACTTGGTGCTCTCCCATGACACGCACTTTCAGCAACAACTCAGTGTTCAGCACTATACAATTCGAATTAATGTCATCCATGTTCTCAAGCAGAATAATATCCGGTTTCTCCACGTGTAGATTCACAGTTAACATCTTGGGCGTCGAGATGGCCGGCTGCTGTTGCGCCAGCTGCTGCTGCTTCCTCTTCTGCAGCGCTGCTTCGTTCCTCGAAGCAGAAGCAGCAACGGTCTTGCTCGTGGTGTCCACATCAAAGAAGTCCTTGACCTTCATGAGATAGTCAAGAGACACGATGATGCTGAAGGAGAACACCCGCACGTCGGCGAAGATGTCGTTTGCGCTTTGGCGGACCGTCACGTCCAGCATGCTGCGCGCGTTGTTGTACTTGGCATGCTCTTTATCGGGATGATCTTCGCCGACGCTGCCACCAGGTTGCACCGGCGTGCTGGTTCGCTCCATGATGCGCATCAGCGAGCCCTCGCGGCTCGGTCGAGTGTCGTCCAGCGTGCAGTTCATCAGCAGGATCGACGTAGCCAGCAGGCCGTCCGCGTACACGCGGCCTTTCACGGCGAAGTGAGTGAGACTGAAGCGTGCGAGCCCGTTCTCCGGCAGATGCAACGGCGACGACTGCGACTGCAGCAGCTTGGAACCGCCGGTGAACAGATTGATCACGAGGCTGTCCATGATGAATTCAAACTTCACCGAGATGTGCGCGTGTCGTTCTTGCGTGTCCGTCGGCGGCGCCTCTCGCGAAGTATCGATGTCATATTTGTACACAGGTTGGAGCTTTAAATATTGTAACAAATGACGATAAATTGGAAGAGAATTTTAATCTTTGCATTTCGCAAAATTTAGATTCTTTAAGAAATTCTACTAAATTGAAGAGTTTTTGAACGTTAAATTTATATTCTGGTTATTAAAAAGATTTTTCTAAACTAAAGTTTAATTTTAATATTCAAAATTAAAGTTCCTTATAATTCAATATATATTACATATTTGTTCAAATTAATTATATTTACCTGCAGCTCTCCGCTGCGTTCGGACTTGACGATGGACGGCGCGGCCTGCACGGCCGATTTTGGATCCTCGAAAGTTTCGCCGAGATTCTGTTCTAGCACCTTCAGAATCGTCGCGTAATCTTCTTTGCTCAGCAGTAGGTTAATCTTGTTCAGCCTGCCAGACATCTCGATGTTCGGGATGGCGGTGAACCAGGCAGTCGACAAGTTGCGCTTCATCAGCAGCGTGAACGTCACCGGCTCGAGCAGCAGCACTTCATTTTCGCTGGCGAATTTTTCCATATTCAGTCGAACCCGCGTCAGCTTCAGATTCTGCAATTCGATCTTCATCTCGTCCACCACGGGATACTCCCCGGTCTCCTCGTTCATCACATCTAATTTTTTAAAGACGTTGCACACCTGCGAGAATTTATTCACATATTACCGTTCTTATTAAATTATGTTTATATTTTCTCTAAGTTTATAGAGTTACATAAAATTACAAGTTTTAAAACAAACTATTAAAATTTCTCAAAATTAAAAAAGGAACAAATTTCCTTTTTAAGTTATTAATCGATATGAAAAATTTAATTTTAGGAAATTTAAAAAGTTCTAATTTTAAGAAACTTTAATTTTGAAAACCTTCAAAACTTGGAAGAAAATTGTATATAAATTATAAGTTTTTTTATACCGCACCATAAGATTTCCCATGTCCAGCATCAGGCTGTGCTCACTCTTGGAGTTCATCGGCACGTATACGACGGGCGCTTTGATCCTGACGCACAACTCGATGCGAGAGGCGCTCTCCTGAACATCCTTGATATTTGTTTTCGCAGCTTCCGCCGCTGCCGCTGAGGCATCTTTAACGGCTTTCTGCGCGGCTTGAAAGTTGTTCAGAAAATTCATCACACTAGTGACAAACGCGTTCAGGAAGACTATACGATGGCAGCCCATCGTCACTTTAACAGACATGTTGTTCTTGTCAACTTCCCATGACTCCAAGTTGTACATCACAGCTTGAACCTGTAAAAATTTTCCATTCTTTTAATGCAAAGCAATCTTAAATAATCATAGTTATCATGTAGTGCGTTTTTGTATTTCATTAAAATTTCGTTATTATTAATTCAGCGCTAAAAGTCCTTAAAATAAAAAAAAATAAAAAAACTTTAAATTCAAAGAGCTTCAATTTTAATAAATTTCAAATACTGAAAATTTTTTTCTGCGTCCAAAGATGTAAAACATTTAGAAAAGTAGGTATATTTAAATATCTGCTTTTAAAAATAAAGAAATATAATTAAAATAAAAAGAACATACAGTTAAAAGAGACAAGGATGTAAAAGTGCTCACTTGTAAAGATTCGGTGCCCTCCACAGCGACGATATCCTTGTACGCGGAAGCGGGATTGAGATCCTTGACGCTGATGGAGGCCAGGTCGGCGTTCACTTGCGAGTAGGAGGACTTGCTGAGGAAACTGGCACTCATGCCTTCGATGTAAAACGCGGTGATATCCCGGGCAACACTGGAGATCTTCAGATTGATCGAACCGACCTTGGCGTTCACCTTCAAGTCGATGCATTCGACCATTTGTTTCTTGCGTCGTTTTGCAGGCGTCAATCTCTGCTTCTGCAATTGTTCGCGAAGGAAGCCAGAAGTCTCCTCCTGAATGGAGGTCAATCGAGTCGGTCGTTGGCGCGCGACTTCCTTGGGCTGAGCGCTCTCGAGCGAATTTATTCGGTCCTGAATATGCGTGCCGAAGCGCAGCAGCTCGATGAGTGCCTCTTGATGCAGTAGCGTGTCCAGCGTGGTGAATTCCAGTTGTAAAAGCTTCACGACGGAGCCGTGACGCGTGGTGAATTCCGGCGAGCGCTTGTTCACGTTCACGTAACGCACGACGATCAGATACTCGTCTTTGCCAGCCGACATCGGTGTGTTTACCATGAAGATCTCCTGATCGTCGTGCCGTTGCCGTAGCTGCACACCGCCAAGTCGCAGCTGCACCTCCTGATCGTATGTGCGCTGCAGCATTTCCGCTTCCAGCTGCAATACCTGAAATCTACGGAAAAAAATCGAATTTAAAAACGTGTGAAAAAATGTATACAAAAATTAATAGAAAATTAATCAACTTTTTTTTACAATAAAATACAATTGATCAAAACAATTAACAAACTTAAAATTTTTAAACTTGACCAGTAAGCTTGATTAAATTTAATCAAACATTTTTATAAAATCAAACTCTTCAAAGGAAATAAAAATATGCAAAGTGTGTTTCTCGAACCTGACGAATTCTGACGCCTCGTCGTCTTGCTGTTTGGACACCGACAGCGTGAACTCCTTCATTTCGAATCTCATCTCCAGATCGGTAGTCTGCTTCATCGGCAGCGCGCCGGCTGCTTCCTGCTTCCTTTTGTCGGCAATGCTGGATATCGTAGTGCCGAGGTCCTTCAACGACAGCTGCGAAACGGACTTAGAAAGGGAAGCGTTGCGTTGCAGTTCCGTAGGTTTCTCTTCGGGCAGCGGAATGCTCTGCGCGATTGACAGCGCCTGCAGTAATCGCGCGTCCGTTATATTCACGGATACAGACGGCAGGCGACCGAGTAGTCGGAGTTTCGGTAGCAGCGGGTCGTCCGTCACCAGACATTTGTGGAACTGGATCTCCAGCGTCGTTGGATGAAGCAACGTCAAAGAACTGTCGGCATTCGCCAGGGCCGTTCGCCATTCTTCGTTCGGCAGCGAAACGAGCACCTAAATGCGACGATCACATTTTAAGAACATTCATTTCATTATAATTAATTAGAATAAAGTATGTAAAGTATGTATAAACATCAATATGACAAGCTTTACTTCATAAAAATCGAAAAGTAAAAATTTTACTGATAAAAAGTATTTAAAATTATATTCTTAAAATTACCTGAAAGTTGACTATTTTCAGCATGAACTTGTCGTAGCTGTGTTCTCGCAAATGCAGCAGCACTTCCTCCTCGCTTTTGCCCATGCTGACTAGCTGCTTGACGCTGGCGCCAGCCAAGTCGCTTTTGGCTTTTTCCAGCGAGTGCATCTTCAAGCTGCCGAGATTAATGACGATCAGCGCTTTCGAGTCCTCGTAGAAGCCGCCGTGCGGAATGATGAGCTGCGATGCCTGCATGTCCACCTGAATGTCCAGCACCGAGTGTTTCTGTATCGCGTACTCCAATCCGAGCGCCGACATCTCCTTCAAACCTTCCAGCTGCTCCGCCGCGGCTGTTTGCAACTGGCTCAGCGTCGACGAGTCCTGCACCTGCGAAACAAACTCGTCGATATCAAACAAGTATAATTGTGTGATAAATTCACAGAAAGTTACTCTCATTTTATTTCTCTGCGAATTCATCGCGCCGATTGGAAACAAAAATGGATACCTTGAACATGTTGACCAGCTCGATGATGGTTTGCGCGTCGTAGATGATGTCGACGGATCGCGACTTGACAATAACACGGTCGCCGCACAGTTTGTCCAGCGGATTCTTCTCGTAGGAGACAGACACGAGGGCGGTGTCGGAACTGCCGTGTTCCGGATTGAAGAGCGACGGTATGTGGCCGCTCGTCTGCGTTGCGCCCAGCAGCCTCATGTCGCTGATGGAAGCAGTGACGAGAATCGCGTTCGCCGAGGGCCGCGACTTGAAGCCCGCGCGCACGCCGTGCAATTGTAGGTCTAGCACGCACGGATGCTTCTTGTCTGTATCCAACAGCGTGATCTGCAGGCCGTGCAAAAGGAAACGAGTGTCCACCATCTCGTACGTCTCCGGATAGTGCGCGGGCGCGCTGTTTTCCTGATAGTCGATCGCCCGGTAAAGTTTCTCCTTTTCCTGCGGCGTCATTGCCTCCTCAAACCTGAGTACAACGCAGTGAAAGTCTCATTCAATGTGCAGAATTTTAAACGAACTTTTGCTCTAAATTATATATCGTGTAAAACGCTTAATAACGCTCTAAAAACGCAAATTACAGATGCTTTGAGGACAAACCTGCGCATGATGGCTGCGGCTGAGTTGAGCTCTTTCGTCTCCTCGGCTTGCGAGTTGGACCACAGGAAGCCAAACCAGCCTCGCTTTGCTTTGAGGCTTTTCTCCCGCTCGGCCAGTCTCTCCACCTCCATTTCAATCTGCTGCCGGATTATCACCAGATTGAAGATGTCGAGCTTCTTTTCGCAGTCGGTCAATTGTTCCTCGGTGTCTTTCACCAGCTTCTTCGTCGTCAACTTCGTCTGATAGGCCTCGGCGTACACGCGACAAGTGTCGCGGTGCTCCTTCATGTGATTCCAGTCCCAATTGCGATGACATCGTCGCACGGTCTCCTCGAGAATGCAGGTATACGCGAAGCGCCACCACTCCTTGTAGTGGCCGCGATATGATGTCAGATTGGGCCGGTACTTCCGATACGGCGCGGCCTTCCGCGCCTGATCCAGACCCTCGCCCAACCGCACCAACGTCTGATACTGTCGCTTTGTCAAGCCGATCCGCAGTTTCTGCATCTCCAGATCCAGCCACATCTGCGAGAAGATATACACGATTACTTAGAATTCAATTTTCTTGTTGGATAACTTATTTTGTATTTCTTTAAATATTAATTGTTACTTTTGCGATTTTCTATTAAACACATCTCTGGTTTCTCTCGTAACACTTTTCACCATATATCGTAGTAATGTCTTTAAAAGTATGGATATTTGATACAATTTGAAATCGAAGCTTCTCAATTATAAACAAAAACAAGCATATTTCAGTCACCTTGGGAATGGTATAGTTGCTGCCATCAGACTCGGGCTTAGGATTCAATCGCAGTTTGGACTTAACGTTGATCGGTCCCAGCAAGTACTGGTAACCCGTCGGGGTGTAATCCATAGTCGCGATGCCGCTGCAGAAGAGATTCGAGTACGTAGACTGCGGACTTCTGCTGTACTGCTCGACACTGGTGTTAAGATAAACGGCCAGCCCATCCAGGCTACACAGCTTAAAGATCTGCGGGATGGCGTACATGTCCTTGAGATTACCAGTAGTCTCCCAGGAATCCGTACAGCTCTCCAGAACAAAAGTATTCAAGGTGAAGCCGACGGAGAATGGATGTTGCTTGAAAGTGACATGGTCCTCGTATCGCACATGGATCCTTTTGATCTCGACGTGGATGTTCTTGATCATGCGAGCGACTAGCTTCTCCACCATCGAGTCGTCCAATTTTTCTTGTGCTGTAAAAATTTACAATAAAAATATTTTAAATGCATATTAATTAAATAATTGAAAACAATATTGATTTAAATATAAATTTGAACATAAAACACATGCCAACTATTATCAGAAACGTGAAAATTTGTAGACTAATTTTTTGTTACATAATTTGTAAACAAGTGAATATTAATTACATTTTAACTCTGCTAATTGTTTCCTCTTCTCCACTCTATCGAGCTCAGCTCGTTTAGCCTCCAACTGCGCTTTAGTCTCCTTGTCTTCATTGTACGAGATTTGACTCGTGGGCACTACTAGTATAAACAGTTCTTCAACTATTGCATCAATCTGGCCATTCCACATATCTTTGAACGGAATCTTTAGTATCAATTTGCCTGAAAAATACAGTATTATACATTATAAAATAATAATTCTGTGACTTATAATTATTATAAGTAAATATAACACAAATTTTATACCTAAACGGCCATATTCCAATCTCACTGGCAAATCTAGCACGTCCAATGCAGATTCTTTTATTAACAAGTCATTTAACACAAGATCACCTAAAAGTAAAAAGATTGTTATGCAAAATACAGTTGCTTGGTAGAAGACAAAATTATTCTGTGCATTCTTACCTCCCCACAGACTGAGTTTAAGCTGTGAGTAATCCAAGTTCTCAATGTATTCGCCGATCACCTTGTTCAGGAGCTCTGCGACAATCGACTCAAAGACCATTTTGCTGTTTTTTTTCTTACTTTTCCTCAATCAATTTCTTCCACACTGTAGCACTATCCTTTCTAACACAACTCTGAAAATAAAATAAAAGTAAGATATAGTGTATTCAAAAAGTTATGGCAAACAAATAATAATTTTAAACGTAAAAACAGCATGCGACAATTTGATTCTTGACATTTCTGTGTTCTGTTCAACTGATATTATTGGTGCTGATGTCATTGTAATCTTGTTATCAATGGTGATTCATCAATGCACAGATATTCTTTTGGCATTTAAAGCAAGTAATAAAAATGCTTTGATTAGCAGACAGTAATACAATAAATAATTATTACAAAAAATGTATTCTAATTAACAAATACTATCGCATAATCAAATAATTGTATATTATTTTCGATTATTAAAAAGTTTTTTAAATGTAATATTTAACTAATTAATTTTATACTTTTTACACAATTACTCATGAGAAATTATCTCTTCATTAATTATACATAAATTTACATTTGGAGTTTTTTGCACAATTAGCTTAAATTGTATCACAACAAAGATATTAATTTCATTTGATGAATATAATTATGTAAATATAGAACAATTTTCTAAAATTCAAAAAGTAAAGATAACTAAAATTATTTTAATTTTTAAATCAATTAAAAATGTGTTTTTTCCTCATAATTTAGTGGAAAAAATAAATCAATATACAAAGATTTAATAAATTAATTTACAACTTTTATATAAATAATATAATTAAATAAAAAATAAGAGTGATTCAAGACATTACACATCTGGATGAAATAAAATTCAAATCACTAAAATATTTAATATTTATCCTATTTCATCCAAATATATGCAATAATGTTTTGATGCCTTCTGCGTTTATTCATGTTATACATAATTATATTTCCATAATTACACTAAATAAAAAATTTATATTAAATTCCTCACATGCTCGTGACAAAAATCGTGTTGTATAAAAATTGTGTTTTGTTGTCACAGTTTCACAATACAATATTATGATAATAAAATATAGCCACAACCCACTGCACAAAACACTTTCTTACATATATTAAAAAGGATCGAACTATTTGCAAAAATCTATTCTCTACACTAACAGTTACTACCTGTGATCTGACAGTACGACGATGGACATAACCTGAAAAAACAGGCGGTTACTCGAGCACGACGGCTCGCGTCTTTTTTCGTCAGGTTACGTCATCCCCGCGGAGTATCATCGATCCCCTCCTGGGCACGTCACACTTCTAGAACGCGATGTCGACGTTGATCACCCGTGATCATCCGTTGCTCCCGTTCGTTTCTCGAAACAACCTGAATTCCGCAGATTTCTTCGATTTTTAGTGTTACCAATTCCTGAGCACAAACATGCCGCACCGATGTCCTCGATACTTTCGCTCGAAGAAAATGGAGGGAAAGCTATATCATTGCGCTGTTTCTCATAGCGCAAAACTGTATATCCGCTGTATATTTGTAAAAAATAAACGCTTCACTGATATCCTGAAATAGTGCCAAGGTTATGAGATAAAGCATCTCTTCCTAGGTCGATTCTATCAGCGTTAAATAATTGTTTTAGCGATTACAAAAGAAGATATGAATTATTAAATATTCGCAGAATGAAATAAAAATGTTGAAAAGAAATAAATCAAATCAACGAAGAATTTTTCATCTGAATGAATCATGAATATCTGATATTATTATGATTACGATTGCTATACTTTTTCCTATCGCAACAATGCAAAAGTGACGATAACAGATTGTCGATTCGTTTGATCAGAAGACAATCGTATTACGATTAATTAAATATCTACATTGATTACGTCAATCATCGACGCGAATAGAATCGGTTTTGTGTATGTAACACCGGCTGTTTTACATAATTCTGTTTGTTGGCAAATATAACTTCTGTCTTATAATAGCGATTACGTGACATTACATTACGTGTATGTATATGTATTCCGTACAGCGTTGACGATGCTTTAATCATGACTGTCAGTGCTTATCTCGATTACTAATGTCGGTATCTCGCGCATAACAAAGTGTTGGTTACAAGAGTTACATCACTTGTCGCTATAGCTTTTCGCGGGGAATACTTTTCGATTGAACACGCCGACAAAAACATAATGCTGATACAATATATAGAATATACGAGAACATAGTTACCGCTTGAGAATATTTGAGATCCTTTTCTTTGAGATCAATTATTTCGTACGAGCGAGATAACTTTTGCGTGTGGAACGCCGCAACGGTTTCTCAACATCATTTTGCAAAAATATGTTGGCCGCCTTGCTGCGTTATCAAGCTCCGCATGAGATGTTTCTCGCGATCGCCGCTAGAAGGTCGCAACGTTGATATTTGTCGAAAAACTTGTTCAGATAATTTACAAAATTTTTTGAATATTTATTCTTTTAAAATTAAGCGTTGTATTTGTTGGGACTGGTGTTTCGTTTTTTTCTTGGTATATCAATTCTTATTTTTCAACTATTGTTATGACCACAAAATCTTCTTATACTCGATTTACAATTCTGATTTTTCCTACAAAAAAATAATTACAAACTTTTTATCGTAAAAAATTATTATACATAAAATTTGATTGTTTTACGCCTTGATAAAATACTATTTGGAATAAAATACTTTCATTATATATTTTATTCCAATATTTGTGCATATATGCTTTTTTATATAATTGTGGAAAACTTGTATGAAAAGTTTTCCACAAAAGAACTTTAATGAACGTGATAGAATTTATATGTAACGATAAGAATGCTAAATTTAATTAATAATCGCAGTGCAATATATTATCACTTTAATTAATTTCTTAATTTGAATTCCGCTTATCTGTATCATTATCAGAGATAAAATATACGAAGAGATTCGCGTTTTGTTACAAATAATTTTATTAATAAATATAAGACCAGAATTGTTCACAAGGCACAGATTCCACAGATCGTTCGAGCAAAACGCGCGAAGGAGACTGAAAGGTTTTCCCTCCGCTAATCCAATGTTTCCTTTCCGGTTTTTGGTAGCATGAATGAGAAGACACCGCACGCTGAAAATCAATCATGTTATATTAGTTTATGATGTCAATTAAGATTAAAACCAGCATTTAGACAACTTCTAAATGGAAATAGAACAATATTATCATTTTTTTTCACAAAAAATTGAAATATATGCGCGAAAAAGTATTTCAAAATTGCCTCAGATCCAAATTACATTTTTGATTACAATTGAATTTAAATAGAAAAAATTTCTTACCGAACAGAAACGCGGCGAACAATATGATGGGAACTACGCAGGCTAAATCGATGAGATAACCAAACACCAGGTTGCCGACTAAAGCACCCAGTCGACCCATTGTTAGCGACAAAGCCGCGGCCATCACTCTGAAACATTATTAACAAATTAATCAATTTCAGGCTGAAGGAATAAAAAGGTCGAAGAAAGCGCAATTGTTTGCTCACCTGAGATTCGTCGGGAACATGTCGACAATCACGCAGTAAACTAGAGAGATCCCGAGGGACGTAAGGGCCTCGAATATGCACGAGAGCACCAGATTCTGCGTCGAGTCCACCACATAATAGAAGCCCACGGTCACCGCGCCGGAAACCACCAACGACACGACTGAAACAGCACAGTTTCGTTTCGTCTAATTTGGACAATTACGGAGAACTTAATTGCATTTTGATGATTAAAATCCAATTCAATTTAATCAGAGAAGTTAAAATTTAGATAATTGTACGTTAGAACATGCTCTCGGTTCCTGATCCTAAGTTCTCGAATCTCGATACTCACTCAGGAAGAATTTCGCTCCAAGTTTGTGCACGAAGACGGGCAGGATGATGGAGCCGGGGATGCAGGCGAGGCCTATGTATACGGTGTGCAGGTAAACGGAAGGCGCGATTATCGTGTCGCATCCGTACAGATCGAAGGAGGTGGTGTTGTCCGACAGAGCGGATACTATGCACACCGACGTGGTCTCGCCGGGATTTGTGTGCTCAAATTGCTCGAATCTTGTCGAAACAAAATCAAAATCGCAAAGGATAAGTCAATTATAAAAATTAAAATTTAATAAAGTAAGAGAACTGTCGATTAAAGTTTAAATAAAGTCACTAGTACGTAAAAAGAAAACTTTTTTTAATATTCTAAAAAGGATTTGTGCTTTCAAACTTCGATATTTGCACTTGTTGGAATTAGAATTAAAGTTGGAGATGAAATTAATACTAAAGCTAGAAATAAAATTAAATTTTTATCAGAATTATACGCCAATCTTTTACCGTGTGACTTTATATAAACAGTTTTCCACAGAAAAATCGATATGATAAACACTTTTATCGAGAAGTGGAAGTTACCTGGTGAACAATTCCGGAAACCAGACCATTAGAGTGTAGTAGCTGCTGGTGAGTCCGAATTGAATAGCACAGGCGAGCAGAGTGTTGCGTAAATAGGGCGGTTTGCAGAGCGCAGTCGTAAGATCCCGTATTTCTGCAAGGAGCACCTTCAGGTCCTTCCGCTTGTGCAATTTCAGAGATCTAGTACTCTTATCCTTCGTCTTTTCTTGCAGGCACTTCACCTGTAGCGAAAAAAAAAATTCAAATAATTTGCTGCCGTCTTGTTTCTACAACGAAAAAATTGTAGCAGCCTTACCGGATAAGTGTCGGGATCGGCGCCGGTGTTGCGCGAGTAGATCCACTTGAACACCTCGAGCGCGGCGTCGGTCTCGCCGCACTCCAGCAGGAACTTCGGGCTCTCCGGGAAGGCGAAGAGCCACAGGCCGAGCATGAGCGACGGCAGGGCGCAGAGCGCGACGAAGAGATTCCACGACTTGAAGTAGAACGTCTCGCTCACGTACGTCAAGTCCATTGGTATGATCAGCCAGGCAATCACTGAAAATGATTCGACACCTCGAGCTTTGACTCTTCAAGAGCAGATTACGAAACGACGAAGGCTACTTACGCGGCAGCACGATCACGCCGACCGTCCAGAACATCTCCATCCAGCAGAGACAGCGCTCGCGGTACTTCGTGGGCTGAAACTCGCCGAGATACGGAAAGCAGATGCCCATAGCGCCGGTCACGCTGTGTGAACATTGAAATAAAGATATAAAGTTTATGCAAAATGTACATTTTGATCGTAGTGACAAAATCTTGGGATTTATTTTTCCTCAGCGAAAATATCGTTCAGTTCAAAATTAAACGTGATTGGAGGGAAATTCTCTTCGCTTCAAGCATATTTTTTGCTTAATTTTAAAAATTAAATAGAATAATTACGTAAATTGAAAAATAATCTTTAATATTTCCGTCGAGAGGAAAGAAGCAAATCTGTCGTCAAAATTACAATCATCCGTGTGCGATTGACTCACGCAAAGCCGTTTAAGAACCGAAAGGCCAGGAACACCCAGAAATACTGGACGAAGGAAGACGCGATGCCGACGATGCCGTCCATCAACAGCGTGGCTATTAACACGATCTTCCTGCCCTTCGTGTCAGCCAGGCATCCCCATATATACGATCCAACCACCATACCTGCAAGAATACGAAGAGTTCTCGTCAATTTATAAAAATCTCGATTTCTCCAATCGATGAACTTTTACCGACCTAACATTGGAGAGGCAGTCAGCCATCCCTTCGCGGTGGAATCCATCTCCAGGTCGCATTGCGCTGCCGGAAGTACGAACGAAAGTATCGTCACCCCGATCGCCGTGTCCATATAAATCAGGCCGCAGATGGCCAGCAGCATGTAGTGGAATCTTCCAAACCCTAACGCATTGAATTTAATTGGTTAAAGACTGTCGAATATTATTATCGTATCAATGTATCAGAATCTGGTAATTTTATTTCTCTCAGGAATTTTTTAATTATCGAAACGCAAGATTTTTGTAGATCGAATTACATGAATTGTGTCTTTGGGTCTTTAGATCACTGTGTGAACTTTGGAACTACGAGTGTTCTTTGTAAAACTCTCTTGCCTGTTACGGTGATTGCATGCTCGAAGTCGGCACCTCCGTCTGCCAGGAAGTCGAGTCCTGCGATAGAAGAAGAAGAGGAACATGAGATAAAATAATGACGGTAGAAGTAATTATTTCCTTCTATTCTCTCCTTTCCATTTCTTAATAATTATTAACAGATTCGCGCAGTTTGCAAATTTTCTTCTGTGTATTAAATAAATCTACACTGATAAAAAATGTAAGAAGCAGTGAATATTTCTAGCAGAATCTTCGAAGGGGGTAAAGAAACAATCGGCCCGCTCACCCATGATCGCCGCTCAAGTCGCTGGACGTCCTGAAGGTGCTCGCGCGGCGGAAGTTCTCCTTCGAAGACGTGCCGTCGCAGTGTCTTGGCTTCCCGGTGGTGCTGCTGCCGCGATATCGTTTCTGAAGGCGACACCCCGCGTTCATTGGTGAATGGTGAACACCCGGTGGTATCCCGCCGGCGTAGCTGCCGTCAACTCCACCCCCGAGACTGTCACACCGTGAGAAAACGCCGTGGAACAGCAGCGAGCGGCGACTTGCGGACGAATATACCTGCCTGCGACGATTGTCGCGACCACTTCGCGAAGTTTCCGTTTCTGCGACGAGATGAAGAAAGGGGAGTGGATCGGCAAGCGGCCGCTACTCGCGCGATCGAGCGAATGATCATAAACCATAGATCGCGGCGCGCACCTTGACTTCCGGATTAAGGCCTCGAGACTGTGTCAAGATAAGATATCATTTTACTCCTTGAAAAGAGGGGCTGAAGAACCTTCGGCTTTTCCCAAAAATAATCAGCCGCGAGAGAAAGATTGAAATTCAGACGCGTTGCAAAAAAGAAGGCACGACAATCCCAAAAATTCAGGACAAAAAGCATCGATGCAAGCTCGTTGCGGACGCGACAGGAAACTTTGACAATTCTATATGTAATTCAATACATTAGACTCGTCTGAATTATTTTCTTTAAATTTGTTGATAATTTATATTATGCGGACATGCTTAATTTGCATTTCTTATTTTGGTTTTCTCTCTTTCTCTCGGTTGAAATCCTTGTGTCAAGCTTTCGACAAGTCATGGACGTATACGTAACAAGTATTTATGACGCGAACTCACGAGTGCGTAATTTACGATCTGTGTACGCGGAAGTCAACGCGTCGCTCTTGTTTGATCATCATTCTTTCGTCGCAATTTAGCGAGATAACGTCCTTTTGCAAAATTGTGTCATACGTGTAACATTTCACATCAACGTCATCAATTTGCTCGAGTTTTAGGCGCGATAAGATATCATCGTGCGAATCACAGCATCAACATGTGTACCAATCTGCTATTATATTAATTTATTATTATATATTAGCTATTACTGTTATTTCGGTATTTTATCAATACCTTATCAGACCAATAAATATCTCTCTCTTGAGTAATAATTCAGCGATAAATATAAAAGCTATTAATAATCTGCAGCATGAAGACTTAATGATATTTATCAAGGTACAGTTAGATTCGATGTCACAGATATTGCGACGTAAAAAAACTCGATAGAACGGTGGCAATTATGAAACCTTCGATATTTGTACTGATATTGCGTTGTTCGTGAAATTACTTTTCCTAAACAAGAAGATAAGGAGCGCCAAGTATGCGCTTGATAAAATTGTTGTAAACAAAATGTTATTTCAATATATTGAATTGATAGATCAGGCAATTTTTTTGGGGTTTTGCGAAAATCTGAAGAAACTTATTATATCATTGCAAAAGTGAAAAATGTTTAAATCTGTTTCCTTTTAAGAAACAATATAAAAAAATTACATCAGCTAGAATTGAAACAAATTATGCACATAAAATTTAATTAAAAAAAATATCAACAGTGCATAAATTAATATTGTAAAATATAAACTGCCGTCATTATCGCTTTGATATTGAAAATATACCCAGTAAAGCGCAATATCTGTAATTGTGTTTCTTTTGATCGTGAAAGATTTTATGAAATCATTCGATTAAGCGCTATTGTAACGTAGTTTCTGAATTTTCGGGGTCTATCACGTTTGAAGAACGTGACTGCGCTGATGGCGATGACACAATCATAAAAATGCCACTGCGATACTAAAAAATCATGTTTGAACGTAATGTGTAGCATGTGAAGGATGCGCGTAAGACTTCTTCCCACCCCTGTTTGTTACACGTATTATTTGTTTGCGCCGCTACTCTTGGCAAATAGAACCTTCACGGGAGCACATTATCTGGCAATCGCCGCCGACTAATAGGAAAATGTCAGATACGGTCTACTTACATCTATTCATCACTGCGCGATATCAATCATGTTCGAAACTCCTGGAATTTTCCGCGCGATAAGGGCTACCGAAAAACAGGGCGTCGCGAGGTCATTATTCTTTTCGTCTCCGCAGGTACAAAATAAATCGCGGACAATTTTTAATTCGAGAGCGAGTAATCGCGTGACTGGATCGGTCCAATGTGCACTTTACATGAGCAATCCGCACCTGGTCGGCAGAGATTTCATTCACGTTAATCAGACCGCCGATCGCAGAAAAGTTTTATACCAACGAGGATGTAATCGCGCGGGGAAATTCCTGTTTTGAATCGAAAATCTCGCTTATTGTTTGCTTATCGCAGAGATAAGTCGCTTCTCTTGTTTCACTCTTGACGAAAATATTTTTAAAAGTTAACCGATTAAATTCCAAAAAAAATTTGATTCATGAAACCTAAAGCGTAGACAAAATCGCGTACGCAGACTCCGATTACGTTTTTCCGATCAGAATCGCAAATAGTTGCAACAGATTTGTCGCATTTGTCAAGTAAGACAAAAGTGCAGAATTTTAAATAAATTTTTATGAACTAAAACAGCCGCTATTGACTTTAATACATTTTTATCATCTTGAAACAAATTTTGTACGCTCAAAAAACTTCGAATAAAAACTGATGATTTTATTTAAAATAAAACTTCTTCACGGAAATACTTTTGTACTAATCTAATAGCTGCAATCAGCTTATTGCATTAATTATATCATATCGTATATGACGAATAGTTTCGATAAATATCGCACACTTGTCAGATTCCGATAATATTATAATCCAAATAATATTGACAACATGTTACACACATATCGACGGACGTTCGATTACGATCGCTAGCAGGAAGATCAAAAATAGACATAATCGTTTGATCCGCGCGGTCTAGATTTAACCGCGGAAGCTGATAACGCGTGTGATGACTCCTTTATTCGGGAGCGGACAATTAATCATTGTGCGGTGATAATCAAAGAAAACATAAGATAAGTAGTCGTCGTTGTAGTTGAGAGATTATCCGATCGTTGACACCACAGATTAATCCTCTTTAAGACGATCGCACGACAAAGATTGCTCTTTAATAGATTATTGTTTCGGTAAGTCGTGCTTTTTCTTAAGCACCTTTGGCGCCGCAAAATACTGTTTGGAGAAGATACTAAAATTTGAGGAGGAAACTTTTAGATTTCTGCAATTACAAATAGCTGTTGCGGTATCTTTGGGATCAATAAATTCTTAATTAAGGATTTTAATAAGAAATTTTAGATTCTGTTGCTATCATAAATATCTGAAAGCATAAGAATCCACGCGATAAAAAAATATTACATAAATATAAAACAAATCTTCTCGCTAACAGTATTTTGCGTAATCGCAAAAACAAATTATCATAAATAAATAAATAAATAAAATAGGTAAATTTCTTACCCACTTCAGAAAAGTGAGCCGCTGAAGAGATGCAGAAGTTGCCGATTTTGAAGTAGAACGGAAGCTCGCCTGATTAAGGACGGAATCTCTCGCCGAAGGGACGCAGTGTCTCTTCACGGGTGATCATTCACTATTTTCAGTGACCGCGACCCCGACTGCTTCAACAAGAGCATGATATTTAGGCGAATATGGGCCAATCGCAAGGAAATGCGCAGGGTCGACAATCGATTCTTCAGCACCCACAAGAACGATACGTAAATTAATGATCTTATCATTACGTATCAGGTTGATATAAAAGCTTCCTCGTTCTTTCACTGAAATCATATTTCAAGTAAAGTACAGGTCTGTAGATTTTCTTTAAAAAGAGAGTTTGAAGAACTCCTTCCAAGATAAAAGAAACATCTTGCAGCTATTCACAAAATTCATTTCAAGATACCGTACGGTTTTACTTTACTTTTTAAACAAAAAGAAAACAAGCTTTCCAATCTTTAAAAAGAAAACTGAAAGAAATTCTCGATAGAGACAACAAATTTTTATATCAATTTCGTAAAATCACGATTTAAACGCAATTCTTCTTACTCTCTTAAAATATATTAATAAATAAAAATATGGATTACTATTTTAACAGAGAATGCTGGATCCTGAAGATATCCGGCCCATTCTTTCGCGTCGGCCCTGCAGAAGCGATTGGCGCGTACCGGGACACCCGGGATGCCTTAATTAGAACAAGTAAGGCGCGAGCAAAACCTATTAATTGCAACTATTGTCGCCTGCCAAATCGTCACGACAATTGCGTGACACGCTCGTAAGATCTCCATTTGTCTCGTTAACGTCTGCCGATTTATCGGACCGCTTTCGGTCGCGTCCCGACGTTGGCCCGCGTTCATCCCGCGAAGCCCGAAAATTTCGCCGGTAATTTTTCCCCTCGACGATCCGTCATCGGCAATACGCTCTCTCGAACGTTTAACATTATCGGCGACGCGCGGCGACGACAATGAATATCGATCCCGCGCGAGTGTTTTAAAACAGCGCGTGGAAAATATAGGCGTGTTAACGAAGCGCTCCACGCCGACGTAATTTCCTGCTAGGAAATTGTATCCTCGGCCGCACTCGTCCGCGTTCTTTCAGGCGCGCGGGAGAGGGTGGTTTCAATCGGCTTCTCTCTGTCCTTCGAAGGGATCGACTTCGCGTTTTCTCGCGGTCTGCGAAATACATTAATGGAAACAGAAAACGTTGCAGAAGTATTTTCAAAGAGAAGAAAACTTTTTCCACAAATCTTCATATGTAACGCGATGAAAAAATGATTTCAAATCTTAAGAATCTTTTCTTTTTATTTTTTTTTTCATTGCGTTATATATGAAAATTGTTGCTCTCGCAGTTGGAAAAAGTTTTTACACACTTTTGCTGCGTTGCATGTTTTCGAAAAAGATATTTAAAAATAAAAAGAAACCTGAAATGTTCTTCAAGATGTCTCAGCTCTATTTTACGACTGCGTTTCGACAGAATTCAGGAGGCTGACATTGTTGTAGCGTCGACCGGGATATAGAACGTCAAACGTCAGCGGCCGTGAAGACCTACAATGAGAGCTTTCGTTGCGTGAATGGCCTTGGTCGAAGCTGCGTATTAGGCCGATAAACTATATCGATCGATTCACCGTCGTCCCTGTAAAACTCATTTCTTTCTTTATCTGTGTCTTTATTTCCTCGTAATTTATTTATCTAGCAAGAAACGGGATACTAAAAGACGAAAGAAAGAGAGGAAAATAGACGATAAACGAGTAGACCTCTGTATTTACTCGATTTCAAATTTATTTACTGTTATACACAGTAATCGGATTGCGTCCGGAGATGTTTTCTCCCTTATTGGACATCGCGTAAATCTCCTGTCGGTGCTACGAGGAAAAATGCAATGTTCAAGGCAAGGACTCTTCCTGGTGAATCACTAGCGAAGACAGACATCGCTTTAGCTGCAATGATGAAAAATCCTTTCTTCGTAGTAAGAAAATTATTTTTCTTAATATCTTTAATATTCTTGTGATAAATATAAAACGCTCTTGAGTTCCAATTATAGTGTTTACGAATGCCGATTTGATTGTACCTGAAATTAAGTCTCTGTGTTAATAAAGAAAAAACTCATTTCAAGAAATGCGGCGAAAAATCTTTCCTTCCTAATTTATAGCACTTATTTCTACCACATTGAATGAAAAAAATATCATGTTCTGTAATAATGATCGCAAAACATTACTTCTCTTTTTGGATAATTTTGCAAAATAATTGCTTTTAAAAGTGCTGACCTACATTCTCGACATGTTTTTCTTGGCTCTTTTAATACTCTTTAATAATAAACATAAAATATTTTTCTCTCTCTCGAATAAGATAAGCGAGATTCTCGTAAAATAATTTCGAATTGCAACATTTAAAAGTGCTGAATCACATTTCTAATGTTTTTTCAGCTTTCTTTAATAACAATTATAAAATATTTTTCTGAAATAAGATAATTAACTTCGCCACTTTTTTAGAAGTGTTGATTTCTCGAGAAAATAATGCAGCTAAAAAATCCTAATTATATTGAAAGATTTCCGAGCTTTTTCCGATTGTAAAACGCATTTTGGCGAATCGACAGCGTAAATCGTCTTGCGAGTCCGAGATTGCGCGGGCATTTCTCGAGCTTTCGTGCTTGCAGGGGGGAGTGCTCGTATGACGATCAGTCGTTCGCCGTCCGTCTGCGTCCGCGCTTTCTCGCGCAAGTCGATCGCAATGTGGTCCAGCGGACTTACAAACAATTCGTCTCACGTTTCACAAATATTTCTCGCAAAATCTTATCAACGATCCGGGATGATCAAAAACAAAAGTTTTGCTTCATTATTTCGATTACATGTGCATAATTGAAACGACAAAATATTTATAAGATATCGTGGCGTTTTAAAAAGCTTGGTGTAACTTATTTTAAAAAACATGTGGTGATAAATATATAATAATAAAAATTAATCTATATATGTGAAATTATAATAAAATGTTAATCTGTTTTAAAACCAGTTTGTTAAATAACATTAAATTATGATCAAATCGTGCAATTTAGCACAATGTGCTTTCCGTTAAAACTGTTTTTGATCAGTGCGAAAATAATTTATGACTAATAACAACATATTTCTGCAATCGTCGGCCAGAAGAATTATAAAATTTACGGCCTTGTAAAAAAATCAATTTTCTGAACAATAATGTACCTCAACACGCTCAAGTGGCACATCGTTACCTCGTTCGCCCTGTATCGCACGAGATAAGATTTCAGTCATGGTGGACAAATTGCACGAGTACGAAGGGCTGACGGGCAGAATTCATAGCGTTCGTGACACCATCAAGGAACGATGGAGCGTGTGGAAGGAATGGAAGAACGGTTTGAATCTGGATCAAGGCCTGGATGGATTGAAGCATCAATTGCGCCGGCCGCCCAAGCTGGAACGCACGTTAGAAGATTATTCTCACATTTACAGGTGAGAAGTTTCAATCGTTTATTCAATTTCGTTCTCACCACTCATTCGCAATAACGTAACTTGCGCATTACATAATTATTGCTCGTGAGTGACAATTGATTTGTATTACATATTTATATTTCCTATATCTTTATTAATAATGTTTTAAAAGAAATATTTAAAAGTAAAAAGATGCATACCTCTTGCACATAAAAGTTAAGTGTCTAATTAATTCATTAATTTTCCATTCAACAATCTCAGAAGAAAAACTCGCGCTGAGCTGGTCAGAGTGTCGGCGGCCGTGATGGGAATCGAGTTCTCGTACGCGGCGGAAACCGCCTTCGTGTCGCCGACATTGCTGAAGATCGGCGTCGATCACCAGCACATGACGCTGGTATGGGCGCTGAGTCCCCTCGTGGGCTTCTTCGTGACACCCATCCTCGGCAGCATGAGCGATCGCTGCAGACTCGTACACGGCAGGCGGCGACCCTTCATTCTTCTGTTGGCCCTCGGGGTTTTTATAGGCGAGTCACTAAACGCTGTTCCCAAAAGTTGGATCTGTATAAAAAAATACTTTTGAATCAAGTTCATTTACGAAAAACACTTGGATTCATTACAAAAGTTGAAAAAAGCTGCGGTAATTAATTCTTTAAGTTGACGTCGACTTTAAATGATGTTAAATCTTCTGATTATTTAGTTCTTTGTGGAAACTGAATCCTGTGATTTGTCTTAAAGCGTGATAATACATCGATTTTTTTTATCAAAATTGAATTTTATAGCTTCTTGCTTCTTTATAGAAATTAAACTATAAAAAGTTTTCAAATGGCTCAAGTTTAAAATTTAGAAGATTAAAATAAGCTGCAATTTCCTTTCATTGATTCTATTTCATTGATTCAAGTGCATTTCTCAACTGCAGCAAAACAAAATAGCTTCTTTGAAAAGTAAAATTCCTAATGTTAGAAAGAAAAGAAAATTGTTTACAATTTCCTAGGTCTCATTTTGGTGCCGAACGGCGAACATATCGGCTACGTATTCGGCGACAGGCCGTCTCATACGAACGAGACGATTCCTCTTGGACATCGCACAACGGCGAAGCTATCCGAGGAGAGGACGCTTTCCGAACCGGTTGGCAGGGCTTCCTCGCACTCCTGGGGCATTTTCTTCACTATCCTCGGCACGATGCTGCTCGATTTCGACGCCGACGCTTGTCAAAGCCCGGCGCGAGCTTATCTCCTCGACGTCACTATACCTGGTAAGCAATCCATAATACTCTGCAAGAATCTTGACTGACAGATTTGAATTAAATTAATAATCAAGAAAACATCTCACCAAAGATCTAATTACAAAAGAATTTATAATCTGAATAAAAAATAAAACTTAACTTAAATAAACATTTTCTTAATTATATTAAATTTATTCTCAATTAAATTTTTCTAAGATCTTTATTTAAATTTAAATTAATTTAAAATTGAGCAACTTTATTTCATTAATGTGAATGTATTTGCAGAGGACCATGCCAAAGGCTTGAGCACGTTCACCGTAATGGCGGGTTTAGGAGGTTTCATGGGCTACGGGCTGGGTGGCATCAACTGGGACGCCACCTCGCTCGGTATCATGCTCGGCGGACATCTACACGCGACTTTTACTCTGATCACAATCATCTTCGTCATCTGCGTCATCTGCACGATCACCAGCTTCAAAGAGATACCCCTCGAAGTGCTCGAAAGGGATCAGTATCAGCAAGTAGACGAACCAAAGGTGAATTCTCGTTTAAATAATTTTACTATCACTCTTATATTTCGCACGCGAGATGATCTCTTTTGTGTTTAGCCACCGGAAGAGACCGAAAGAACGACGGAAGGCAAGCGAGATGAACACGAGAAGATCATCCTCGACGAGTCGAAGACATACGGCGCCCTCGACGCCGAGAGCAACGAGAGTGATCCCTCAAAAACGAAGGTACTCGCACTACGTAGTTTTCAAAAAATGTCATGCATTTTTAACAGAAAAAAAAATATCGATCAAGGAATCCACCCTCGATCCGCTGTCGACGCAAGCAGCCTCTGATCGTCCCGAGCAACCGGTCTGCGAAGGTAGCCACGTCAACTACGGCTTCGATGAGGGCGAGGTGAATCCCAAAGCCACCCTGAAAGAGTACCTGCTGTCCATCGTCTACATGCCGCGCAGTCTTCGCCAGGTAGATACTCGACGATCTTCTTCTTTTTCATTTTTTCTTCTTTTTCCCATTTATTCATTTCGAAGATTCGATTTCTGGCATCTTGACTGTCAGGTGTGTCTGACGAATCTGTTCTGCTGGATGGCGCACGTATGCTACTCCCTGTATTTTACCGACTTCGTGGGCGAGGCGGTGTTCGGCGGTAATCCACGAGCGCCCAGCGACACCAAGGAGCGGGAGCTCTACGAGGAAGGTGTGCGATTCGGATGCTGGGGCATGTCCATGTACTCGCTGTCCTGCTCGTGCTACTCGCTCATCATCGAGCGACTGATTCAGCGCTTCCGCGCGCGAAAAGTAAGAATATAAACGCGCGGGTATAAACACCTATAAATGAGAGAAGATCTTTCGTAACGTATAATAAATAATTGTCAATCTTTCATTTAGTTTTAATAGAACTTTTAAATTTTAATGAAGTTTCGATAATATTCTACTAAAATCTACTTATTTGTCAATCAATCGACACACTTTTTGGTCAAGAAAATATATTCGAAACGATTAATTCGTGCCAATTTTTGATCGCTCGCCAAATAACATTTCTACATTCAGGTTTACATCTACGGGCTGCTCTTCTACAGCATCGGCATGCTTCTGATGGCTTTAACAAAGCATCCGGCCGGCGTGATCATCTTCTCGTGGACCGCCGGCGTCATGTATTCCACGCTATTCACCATGCCGTATTTACTGGTAGCTCATTATCACGCGTCTTCGACCTTCGCCCTTACGACGGAAGGCGACGCGATCTCCGGTGGTTTCGTACGTGGATTAGGCACCGACGTCGCCATCGTCTCCTCGATGGTATTCCTCGCGCAATTTCTATTGTCCTGCTGCTTGGGCACGATCGTCAGTCTGACCGGCAGCACCGCGGCGGTGGTGTACGTCGCCAGTGTCCTGGCGATGTGCGGCGCGGCCTCGGCCACGCAGATCATGTACCTGGACCTGTGAATCTTCCTTGTCGGACTTTAGATGTTAAGCCGTTTGATCCTTTCGACTGCGCGTAGCTTTCGCCAACCTCGCAGAGAAGACTAAAGCGTTTCATTCGAAAACACAAAACATTCCAAAGGTAAATATAAGATAATCAAAATAAAGAATTCAATAAATTGTAAGATAATCATCAAACAATCAGATAGTTCTTGCTTAAATCCTGTTAAGTGTTTAGTAAGCATATCATTCGGCTGCGACCTCGCTCGCTTTGCGTTAAATAACTTCGCCGGAGTTAACCGGAATTGTTGTTTCAACGCATGTATTTCGCCAACTAATAAACTGTTAACATTACATTAATATTACGATAATTGAGTGTTTCAAATATCACTGTGCCATCTTGATTCGTTCTAACTGTAACACTTTGATCGATTAACGGACGGATTAACAGGACGGATGTATATGTAACGTGTAACAAAATAACAAATAATTGTTAAACAAACCGTCAATATACGAGTCCCAAACTAAACGAGTCCAAGCTTTCACGTGCGAAGATTATTGATACACTTTTCCAGAATGTCCTTCCTGATTCTCGGATAATCCGTATTTTGGTTCACCACTTCATTGCACGCTTCGATGGCGTCCGCGTAAGCTTTCGCCTTCAGGCAGCAGTAGGCCAGCTTGTAACCGATCGACAGTTTCGTCTTGCCGCCGCATTTCCACGCGTGGGCGTACCTCGTCGCCGCCTCGCGGTAATTCTGATCCTTCTCGGCGATGTATCCTGCAGACAAAATTAATGTCGCTATCTTAAATTTATTTAAAATTCACTACAAAGCTTAACAAATTTTCTCAAAATTGACTAAAATTTATTCAAAAATACCTTAGAACTTTGATTTTACAGTTTTGAATAATAATTATCCCATAATTTTTAATAACTTTTACATTTAATCTGACCTGATAATTCATGAGCTCGCACGCAGGTAGCGTTGTGCTGCAACACTCGCTTCAGCAGCTCATTCGCCAGTTCGTACTTGCTGGATTGCACGTAGATATCCGCCAGTAGCAGCCAGCAGCGTTCCAGATATTCAGCGTCCTCGAACGTCCAAATGTTTTTGCTGACGCGTTTCAAGTGATTGCGGGCGCGCGGCGTTTGCTTCAGCAGGATGTGAGCGGTGGCCATGCCAAGTGCAGGCCCTACGTGATCCCGCAAAGTCTCTTGGCTGGCCAGCGCGGTGCAGTCTTGCAAAGCCTTTTCGATATTCGATTTCTGCTTGGTAGCCAGCAGGAAGAAATCGCTGAGCAGCTTGTGCGTCAGCTCCTCGTGAGGACTGCCTTTGGGATTCAATTCCTGCGATAATTAAAATCAATTTAATTATATAATATTGATAGAATATTATAATGTATTTAAACAATTATTTAATTAAATAATTTCAATATAAAATAACTACTTATTTTTCTATTTAATAAAAAATATAAAGAAGAAAATTCAATTAAATACGAGTGCTATCGATATTAATGTAAAACCTGGAGTAATCGGTAGGCCGTTCTCAGAGCCATCGTCCTCGAGTCTTGATACTCGGCGTCCTCGTCGTTGAATGCCTCGTTCGACAGAGTAGTGTCGTCGTCGGGATCCAGGCAGATCTCGATCATGTTGTAGATCGCCTGCTGGCCCCATTCTGGGTCGCGTCGCGCATAGTTGAAGTTGCGAAGAGCGGAGTTCAATTTACCAGTCCGCCAATCCAGCAATCCGGCGCAGTAATAAAAACCGGCCTCGACGTTGCCGGCGCCCATCGCGACCTGCGCGCGCTGCAGCCATTCGTCGAGGTCGTCCATAGCACCTACGATAAATTGCGTTAGATTCTACATCGAAATAATTTAAACAAACAACAGATTTAATAATAATTTCAAAACCTGTTCTGCGCGACACTTCTATCAATCTTGCTAGGGCAGTCCAGTAAGTCGGTTGACGTATCAGCAGCTGTCGGAAGTGAAACGCTGCGGTCTCGAAGTCCACCTTGCGAAACGCGAGATCCGCCATCATCACGGATGCAGCCTCGTTGTTGGGATCAGCGTTCAGCAGGATGGAACAATTCTGCGCGCATCGGTCTAAATTGTTCATCTAATAAATTCAAAAACATTTGTATTAGAGTTTCTGTAAAAAAATCGAGGCTTAAAAATCTAATTTGTTTAATAAACAAAGATCAACTATTTATTAATTTAATTAAAGCTTCAAGATTTAAAAATCCATCTTTATTTTAAGACTCGATAACCATTCAATAAATAAAAATCGATGAAACAATCGGCTAAATAAATAAAAAATAAAGAAATAAATCAAATTCTCTCGTTATTATTTGATTAAAAATTAGAACTCTTTGAAATTAAACTTCAAAATATATATTCACTATAATTACCTGCATATATAGCTTCGCCAGAGAAAGCAGAGCGTTTACGTCCGTAGGCTTGTGAGCTAACGCTTCTTTATAATATATTATGGCTTCGTCATAATTCCGCAAGGTCGATGCGTAATCGGCCATCGTCAGACAGATGTTCGCCAGTGCGTGCTTCTGATCCGCAATGTCCGGCGAGACACTAAGACGCTGAATATATCTATGTTGATTCTCCTTGGCCTCCTTCAATGTCGCCAGCGCGCCCCTAACGTTGCCCGACTTCTCGCGCACTTTAGCGAGCAATAGCAGCTCTTGCCCTCGCATTTCCAGGCTCAGGATGTCGGATTCGCCTCGCTTGTCTAAATAAAAAAAAAAATCCACTCTTTAAAAAAACATGAAAAATCGATACTCGAATGTATCGAAAGTATTGTTGACGCTTCCCCGCGACGATGATTAATTATCGCAATTATTCTGACAGTTTGATACTTTAAGGGTGAAATCAGATGATACGGAAAAGAGCTGCGGAACGGAGAATGCGTCATTAAGACAGCTAATCACTTGCGGAATACAATCGTACGCAATAGAACGAAAGTAATTTTCACGGTTATTTAAAATTAAAAAAATTTTATTAAAATATTTAGATTTCATAATTATTACATTACTGTAATAAGTGCGGGCGCGTAACACGCGCCTGTATTGTTGTAGGCACATAAAAATAAGGTTGTAATAGTGTAGCTCCACCGGTTCCCGATAGAGACATTGCGTTTACAAACATCTAAGGTCCATATTGGGTCGTACTAATCAGGACCCGATCACTCTTGCCTGATCAGTTCCTTATCAAAACCTTATTAATATTTTTACTCGGGACCCGATCGGGTTTTTTGATTGAGACATGATCGGGTTCCTGATCGGGACCCAATCGGGTTTTCTGATCGGGTTTCTGATCGGGACCCGATCGGGTTTTTTGATCGAAACATAATCGGGTTCCTGATCGGGACCCGATCGGGACATGATCGGGTTTCTGATCGGGACCCTGATCGCGACTATGATCCATTGTGGTAGATCCAACCATAATTTTATAGTTGGATCGACCATAATCCATTGTGGTAGATCTAACCATAATTTTATAGTCGGATCGACCATAATCCATTGTGGTAGAT